CTCGTGTGCATCTGGCTCCAGCTGGGGTCCTTCCCCCATGGAATCTCTACCAGGGGTGGCAGCACAGCCATGAAGGTGACGACCACCTCACAGGAGAGCTCACCAAGGCCAATAGCGAAAGGGCCTCCTCAGCTCCCTTCCACCTTTCCTTCCTGCATGGAGCCAGTTCTGCTCCTCCAGAAGGCATCAGCTGTTCTGAGCACTCCACAAGCTGCTCAGAAAAATTTCTGGCCCCTCTCTTGAGTCTTTGGAAAGTACCTGCTCTATCAATCACTGGCTGTTTCTGCAAATAGGTCTATACCCAGTCCTGTGTCTTTTCTTACTTGACTTCAAGTTCTTCTGCCAACACAGCAAATTTGGGCTTAAAGGTGAAGGCAGCTGAGATTTGTCCACCCTGTCAGAGCAGGAGTTCAGTTATCCCTCAGCAAAGCATAGCATTAGGAAAGAAAAAGCATGTAAGCTGCCTAAATGAAAGGATTCTGTAGAGCTTGCAGGTAGGATGAGATACTCCTGTAGAACATGACCCTATGACAACTTAAGCAAATCTCTGTCACAATACTAACACCCAAGAGAAAGGAGATCTACTGGATTCCCAACTATGAAGGGACATCACACTGCTGCCTGTAGCCAGGAGGGGTAGCCAGCCCCAAAGAGGAGAAGCCTGCCGTTTCATTAATGCTTATTAGCAAAGATGAGCCCTGGGTATAGTGAGCTTTCACCTTTGTGCTGCATTGCAAGCATTAACCTTGGAGAGACTCCTATCTGATAAACACAGTCCGTTTACCAGCCCTGTTTGATACGTGTGGGAACCAATGAAGGAAGGTGAAGTGATACATGCAATACTCCTGATGAAAGATCTCTTTGAACCCAGGAGCTCTGGCTGGCTGGAACTAGACCCTGCTCACCAAAATCTATCCGGATACAGCACCCAATAGGTGATGCTTACATGGCCCATACCCTCCCCTCCTTTCTATGTGCCAACTGATATCTGATGGTTTCCCTCATTCTCTTCTAAAAATAGATTTTTTTCTTTACATACCTGGTTGGGGGGAGAGAGGGAGGGGTTGTTTTTGTTTTTGGCAACCGACCCAAAACTCAGGACCATGTCTGAAAATTCAGCTTTCCAGCACAGATGCTGCAGAGACCGGAGGATTTCAGAGTTGTTCCTCTGTTATTAGTGAGAATTGGGAGGCTGGACCATATCATATTGTACTGAGAAAACAAAGCCAGAAATGAAAGAAGGAGCAGCTTGTGTGAGAGCCCTTTCATCCAGAAGGGAGGAGTGAGCCACAGTGAACACCTTCACACACCAAGGGTGCCAAATCCTGAGACCACCAATTAGCCTGGTCATGGAGAGAGGGGAGAAGCAGAGCAGGCAGGACCATAGTCCAGTGCACCAGCAGGTGCATTGTCAACAGCCCCAAAAGAAGAGAGCTCCTGGTTTAAACACAGCCTAATGACCACTATTTCCAAGAACACAAGTGACTTATCTGTAAACATCACTCCCCCAACCAGGCATTAGCTGGAAAAAAAACATGCTTTGGAGAGAGATACTAATTACATAGCTCTCAACGGCTGGACTTTGATCATAATTACAGTGCCTTCTTCATCTTACATTAGTGGCTTTCAGCTGCAGCTAGGTGGGCACTTCTTGGAAGGTGGAAATCCCGCCTCTTTCAGATAGTCAGCTCTTTTTATGACTCAGAGCTGACCTGGGTTTTCTGCAGCACAGGATGAGCTCCCACGGTACCATCCAAAGAAGTAATTCAGGGGGGTCAGTGACTTGGCACTTCAATACAGCTGCTTCTTTCATTACAGAAGCACTTTCCAAGTCCCAGGAGCCAGAGAACTGAGTGGTCTATATTCCCGATTTCAAGTATTTCCTTTTATAAGGGAAGCAGACAGAGAAAGATTTTGAGGTTTTTGCTGAATTTTAGCATCTCTTAGCTCATTCTGTTTAAGACAAAAGATGAGCACACTCAGGATATACCTTTCCAATGAACCTCACTTCAGACAGTCACGTGCTACATTTGCACCCTTCACTTCTGCATTAGGATGTACATCCCCATCAGCACCCAGTGTCCCTCTGCCCCTCTCAGCTGTGCTGCAGCTCCAGCACTGAACTCCAGCACCCACAGCAACGAGTGGGGTTGTGAAGGAGGAGGCTGATGCCCTGTGCCACAGCTGAGCTCTCTATGCTTTTTTTTGTGATGCTTTGCTTTGATACCCACCTTTACAAAGAAATTAGTAGCCTAAGTGAGGGAGCTGGGCTGTTGAGACAGAAGCTGGAGTGGCCTAAACAATGATAAGCACAGATTCAGGGCACCCAGCTATTTTTCCTCATCTGTGGCACTGAATTTATGTGTTGTTTGGATATACCATTTCACAGTGGCCTATGATAGGCATTATAGGCATTAAGGATAGGCATTAAGGATAGGCATTAAGGATATGAGCATTATAATGGCACATTAGCTAATGCTCCTTGGTGTGATCTGTGTTCACCTCTTGAGAGAGGAAATCTTTTAGCTGTGTCCCACATTGCCTGCCTGCCAGACACCCCCAAACTGAAGAAATTAATAGATGAATCAACAGCAGAGGGTAAATCAGAGCCAGAAATCTTTGAGCTAACTGGGATTTATAACTGCTTCCCCCTCCACACTGAACTACAGGGAAATATGTGTGACACCCTCCCCACAATTTGACAGGGTTCCACACACTTTTCACTATTGAGTTTTTTTGCCAGCATGCCTCAGCTCAACGTTATCTGTTTGATGGTTAGATAATTAGTAGATGTAATTTTAAAGCTGCAGAGAAGCACACTGGCATTAGCTAAATAAAGTACTTTGACCACATCAAAGAAGAACTGTTTCAAACAGCGTAAAATAAATGCAATTCTGAAACTATTGAATTTTGTTAAAGCAGTCAGGGAAATGTCACCCAGCACATCATGAATAAGCAACTGATGGAGCTTAAGGCTGAAGACTGTCTGTGTCTTCAGACTGAGAAAAGCATCTCTGGGACCAGCTTTCAGCTGATTTTGACCTGTGGCAGAGCACAGTCGCTAACAATTGGACAAATGCCACTCTTGGCTCATGTAAACAGACATGCATAACAGCTGAGACATGTTGTTACTCTAAGCTACATCTTGAACAGGTTTTATGACTGAGGGGTGTCACAAACTCTATCTGTCCTGAGGCTTCCCACACTACAGTGCTCACTTGAAAACTCATCATACTGCTTAAGGTATGTGGCGAGGAGCAGCATTTCTGCTGAAAGGCCTGACTTGCTGAACAAGGTAGATTTGAAGGGGTGAAAGGCCCATTAAAAAAAATCTGCAGAATACAGCCAAGGGATTTTTTTTGCTCTTTAACTCCTGCTCCACCTGAATGTTTTTGCCTGAGCTGTAGCACCAATTTTCTGAACCTGTTATTTGACATGAGGTGGGGTGCAATTGACAAGAGGGGCTGGTACTGCCCAGTGCATCTTCATAGTTTCTAAATTAATTTTTCCCCCTTTTTTATTTTTCTTCATTTTCTGTTTTGGAATTTGCCTGGCTGTGGCTTCCAGCCGAGGAAATTTATTAATCTGCTAAACAGTCTGCTGCTGCTAGCCTGAATCCACCTTCCCGGATGGGCACCTCTCTTGTATTGCACTTCTCCTGGCCGCAGGCACATCCCCGCCGGGATCAGCAGGGCTGGGCGGATTTGCAGGAGATCAGAGTGTGGCTGCATGTGCCTGGCCAGCCCTGGGGCTCGTGTTGTGGAAGATCTCGACGGGGAATCCAATACCCCGCCGGCTTCGTTCCATCTTCCTCTGCCACGGCAGCACGGCCAAGGACCGTGCGCTATTTCCCAGCTCCGCTCCTTCCCCCCTGCTGGCCCCAAACGCGGCCCCTCCTCGCTGCCAGGTCTCCACACTCCTCCCCAGGACTTTCACACAGCAGTGGCACCAGGCACCCAGCGGATTAAGCAGGGGATAAAAGCCCCCACCAACCTTGTAACAAGTCACAATAGTGAGGGGGAAAAAATTGAGATCACAAAGCTGCCTGCAATGCCAAGGGCTGGGTGATGGTGGCCAAGCCCTTTCTTCAACAGAGAGCTATGCAGCGTGAGTAGCCTTCCCTAACACCCTAAAGAGGATGTAGAGTTAATAGTTAACTCTTCCAGGGATTGAATGCCTTCGTAAGACACCAGCCAGGGCTTTTACGAAACACAGACAGAAACTAGTCTTAAAACAGCTCAACAAGTGACTGTGCTCAGAAGATTTCACCTCTCCAAACTTTATGACTGGAAAAATACCATCTACATGTCATTTACATGCTTAAATATAGTGTCTTCTGCTGGGGGAAACAAACAAACCGACAATGTGATACTGTGACACCTCGTGCGGACATGCTCTTTTATCTGCTGGAAAGTTATAAAACTCGGCATAACAACAAAGCTAAAATAAGAGTGCTTGGCAGGCACTGAGGCTGGCTGTTAGACAGAAGGAAAAAATATTCCTGGAAAATTACTTGCTCTTAGAAGGCAGGTTTTTTTCTTCTCTGAATGTTTTAAATTGTTTATTTATCCTTTAAATTACAAAATCTCAGAGCTTAATAGTTAAGCTCATATTATCTCCAGGAGTTTTTTCATTTAAAGAAACAAATAAACACACTATAGAAAGCTAAAGCAATTCCTGTACTACCCAGAGCACAGAGTAACCTTCTGCTCCAAAACACAAGGGAAGATACTATCAGCCTTCGTGTTATTTATCATACTTTTTTCCCCTCTAATGCCAAAGAGGAAAAGGGGATATCTTAAACGGATGCCTATAATTAAACAGTAACCTGTTAGAAAGCCAAAAATAATAATAAGCTCCACTGAGCATGAAGAGAGCGGCACATTTTTTCCGCGTGCAGCCCAGCTGCCACCGGACGATAGCAGAAAAGTTAACAATTACACAAGACACTCAGATCAAATCTGCGATAGGAGAGAGTTACGTCACGCTCAGAGACTCACCGCTGGATGCAGGGATCAGGGTAGTACTGCAAGGTGGTGAAAGGTGCTGGTTCGAAATTCATTTCCTTTTGAGCCCCTCTTTGGGGACAAACCAAAATAAAATAAATAAATAGTTATAAAGCCAGCAGGCTAAAAGCAATAAGGTCAAGTGGTACACGAGGTACAACTTTAGAGATTTATTTTACACTTGCAAATGGGTGGGATCTCCTGGGGACTTGGCCAATGGGATTCATCAAGTGACATGAGCATCACCACCACTCCCTCCTCGCCAGCTGGGCATCTTCTGCGCGGATATTTTCCCCTCCTCTCAACATCCTTAATAAACTTTGGTGTACGCTGGCCACACTTGTTGTTGGGAGCTCATCTGGGGCTTCTCTGAACTTCTGATCTCACCGGTCATTGGTTGCCTTCCCGCCTGACTTCACAGTTTAATTTTGGCAGCCCTTGCAATTTTTCAAACTGCTGTGGCCGCTGGTCATCCTCGTCTCCAGATGGCCGGAGTTTCCTGTGCTGGGTGCAGCACCCGTGCTGAATTTCATTGTACTTTAAAAGCTTTCCTTGTCAACTCTGTGGCTATTACCTGCATATAGATGCTTGGGGAATTTTTCAGACTCTCTCACACCACAGTTCAAACAGTCTGTTGTGGTCACAGTTTCAAAAGCTGAATGACAAAATATGGGGAAATTCCTCAATTAAAATTAACTCTGAACTTTTGCTCTTCTGCCTCCCCTTCCTGCTCTCCTCCCTGCAAGAAAACTATCAGACATGATTGTTAATGTTTCCCTCTATAGATTTTGACCATTTTTTTCTGAAAGAGTTGAGATGACATAGAAATCTTTCATTGTTCTGGTGTTCTGTAACTAATATATACATTTTCTTAATTAAAAAAACCCCAATATTTTCTTGAGGAGAAAATTAAAGAAAATAGAAATCAAATCTTTTTCAGCCACTAAAGCCTAAAGAAACAAGAGCAAAGTGAAGTCCACCAAAACAAAGTACCAAAGATGAAAAGCAGATCTGGTTTTTCTGAAGGAACGTGAAAGCAAGAAGGTATAGCTTTAATTCTCTCCCCACCACCTCATTTTCTTTTTTTTCCTCTGTCTTTTGAGTCATACAGAAAATCATTTAGAAAAGCAACCTGTTTTGTCCCCCTGTGTTTTGCCCCACCATGATTTATCCAAATAGTACAGGCTGTAAACCTATCCTGGTTTTGTGGGTTTGGAGAATGAATGAAATATGAATCAGGAGCTAAATTAAAATGGATTCCAGCAGGAAAAAAATAGCAACCACATATCTGTGCACTAGCAGGATTGCATCTTCAAGCAGACCTATATGTTTGTGTGCATGAAGAGAAGTGTAAGAGGCTGCCCTATAGCTCACCTATAGCACATATTTTGTGCCACTGTCAGCACAAATGCCAGCCTCCCAAGGAAAAACCAGCAACCCTCTGAGACAGCAGTGATTGCTTCTTATTTTTCTCCCTCTGTGTTTTCCTTGTAGGAAATTTTTGTTCGAAGAATGTCACGTGGAAACATTTTCTTTGCTGCCTGTGCCAGGGTGGCAGGGGAGCTATTTCAGTCTTGACATTCTCCACCCACACTCAGCCTGATAGTTCCTAACATCTGTGAATTGTGAATCCTGTAAACTTGCAGGGCTGATCCCCGGCCAAGCCCAAGCAGCTTTCGCTAAGTGACATTCACCAAGGAAGAGAGGCTGGAAGTGAAGGATGTGTTTATTAACTGCAGTTAATAAACCCTCACTGCTGGACACTGATTCCTCTGCCTTGCCTGTGAAAGATCAGTAATATGAAACACCTTCCTTCTCTTAGGCTGAACCCCAGAATAAACACCAAACCTTGTAGCCTGCGTCATTGGAGAAGTGTGGGAATCTCCAAACCAGAACCTACTGGGGAGGGGAAAGGAGGAATCACACAAGGGCTTGCACTCACACGGCAAGCATGGCTGCAGAGGGCTGTGTCCCCTTCCACTGCTGAAATCAGTGCTTTGCTTACCCTGAGCAGCTGCCTCTCCTGAGGCAGCAGGTACTCCAGGGAATGGGCAAGGAGGGCTGGATAAACTCATCGTCTACACTCACAGCCTGGCTCTGATCTAGGCTTTGAGCATACACCCTTAACCAAAGACATGGCAGGCAAATCCTTTCCATGGACAACCCATTTGAGCAAGAGCTTGGGTTCATGTTCTTTTGCTCCTGGACTTCCACCTGTGGCTGTGGATAACCAGCCTGCTGGGGAGGAGCATCAGTCAGCAGGTTGGGCTCTGTATACGCTGCTGAGACCCTATGCTTGCTCCTGGAGAAACACCAGAACCTTGTTGGGTTTCTTCTACTATGCCCGTGGTGGGATTAGCTGTTACCTCTCCAAGCTTGACTTCATGGAAGGGTGGTCAAGCATTGTATGTTCTTCCAACAGCCTGGAAAAGTTTGTCTTTCCTGACAGATTTCAGCATAAAAGACAAAAGAATTGCCATGAGATAGATGAGATTCTTCTGAAATCCTGCTCTACATACTTCTCTATGGGAGCTGGAGAAGAGTGTTCCGCAGCATGGCCTGAGTGCCAAGGCCAACACACTGGGAGCAGGGAAAGGCTGGACCATTCCCACCTGGAGACAGACCCACTTTTGATTTTGTCCAGTCTCTCACCTGGCATATGCCCAGATCACACATCCCAAGGGCTTTGTGAAGTACAACTGGCAGCTCCTGAAACTGATGCTGCTGGGCTGGCCTCTGTCTCCGAGGGTGAAGTTGGCCTCTGGTTTTACGCTACCTTAGCTCTGCACAGCAGAGTACCCCTGGTACCCCACACAGTAAATACAGGTCTGTTACAGCCCAAACCATCAGTCCTGTGATTCTTGGTTTTAGTGCTGAACACATCTAGCAGCACCGCAGTCAAGAAGAGGTAGTTAGTCTTCATCTAGCAATTCATACCAAAAGAATAACTTTTCTTGAAAAAAACACAACTTAATTTTGAAAAGAAGCACCACATAATTTTGATGACAAATAATTGTTTGGAGCAGGGCTCTTTTCTCACTCACAAGGCACTGATGAGAGGGGTTTCTAGCAAAGACATTTCCATAAAAAAGTCAAAAGGGGCCACCAAGTGCCCAAGACCTGTACCAGTCTGTACCTGGGGCTGGGCATATGCAAATTGCTCATAGTTTGGTTTGTTTTGGCAGTGCACACAGCACCTGGCTACTTTTCCTGGAGAACTGGACATTTTCAGCCTCCCACAGAGATCTGGATGTGTTCTCAGAAGGTCAATCTCTTGCTTTTTCAAGCTGGAAAACAGAGCCATGGAAACCCACTGGCAGCAGTGCACAAAATCGCCCTGCAAAAGCCAGCAAGTCTTCTGATTTCTCTCTTCCAACCCAAACTTCCTTTCTCCCTCCTGCTCACAGCCAGCATTTAGCTGTGGGTTGATTGACCATGAATTTAGGCGGATATCCACCCTTGCAGTTAGGTTGCACCCAGCTCCTCTCAGCTGCAAGGCACTCCTTTGCATAGCACAGTCCACAGTGGAAACACAAGCCACAGGGTGTGTGTGTGTGAGCTGACAGTGCCCCATGTATAGCTGGAAGGCTCTCAGGGCTCAGTGGTATTTGGCCAACTTGATATGCATTGCCTTAAAGAAAATCTACTAGGAGGCCAAGATGTTCAAGAGCTGGAGATTTCAGAGGGGGACTGAGTGGGTACATGAGGATTTGAAAACTTCTTAATTTAGGAAGAAATTCTTTAAGAAGAAATTCTTTACTGTGAGGGTGGTGAGGCACTGGAACTGGTTGCCCAGAGGAGCTGTGGACACCCCATCCTTGGAAGTGTTCAGGTCCAGGCTGGATGGAGCTTTGAGCAATCTGGTCTGGTGGAAGGTATTCCTGCCCACAGCAGAGTGGTTGGAAACAGATGATCTTTAAGGTCCCTCCCAACCCAAACCTTTCTATGATTCTGTGATCAAAGCAGCCTGGGAGTGCAGGCAAGGGGGAGCTTCTTGCAATAGCAGACTTCAAAGGTAGTCAGCTGCGGGGTGTTTGTGATATCCTCAGTGTTCACTGCCCTTCCTAGGAGGCTTCTTGCTGGTAGTGAGTGTGATGCTGATCTCAGGGCTATAGGCACGTGTCCTGCAGAAGCAGGGCGGAAGCCAGGGTGTCAGGGATCTGTCTGGACAGCGGATTTACAGCCAAGCCTCTAGTGCTTGTGGTGAGCAGGCAGCACGGGGCTATGCGGAGGAAGCATGTGTGTAGGTGGGCAGGAATGCAGGGCATCACTCCGCCACTGCTGCTTCGACGTCTGGGAGAGAAAAACAGCCAGAGAAACAGCTGTGGACTACTCTCCCATTACCCCCCCATTCACCCTCTCTCTGGCTTCGATTTGAGCTGTCACTGAAATGACCACAAGATTATCTTTTAGCAGAGGCAAACATTTATATCCTTAGGAGGAGACTGATGGGGATTTATAATGTCTCCCCACTGCCACCCAGGTCAGTGCCTGGATGCCTCTGTGCAGCCCCCGTCCTGAAAAGGGTGAAAGAGAGAGGCACAGTTTCTTGACACCTCTGTGGCTCCAGTACTGATCTATGGGTCCAAGGACCTTTGAACAACTTGGAGTCGAGGAAGACAGAGAGATGCCAGCTTTGCTCTGAGCCACCTTTTCAACTACTGGTTTCAGGATTTGCCTGAAATCAGCCCCACCCTTTACACCAGGGGATGAAACATTTCATTCATAGCTCGGGTTTCCAGAGGAGTGGTTGTGGTTGTTTTAATTTTTTTTTTTTAAGTTAAAATGAATTTCTTTTAAGAGCAAGAGATCTGTGGGATATTGGGGGATTTTTTGTTAGAAAATGTTGAAGAGAAGGAAATAATTCCCTCCTACCAGCAATGAAATGTTTTTAGCTTGGCTGTTCAAGGGAATAGAAACACACGTCAGTGTGCCTTTTGAGCACACTTTCCAATTTCAACTAAGTATTAGAGATATTTAAAGGTCTCAAAGGAGTTAAGGTTTTATGAGTTTCACGAACAGAAGTGAGCAGAGGAAAGACTCCAGTAACTCCAGTGAAAGGAAAGAGGTAACAGGAGTATGACCCTCACAGGCTTTGGAGAATCTACACGAATGCTCGATGGTGGGAAAAACTTCCTTAAGAATTC